GTTTCCCGGGGAGGGCCGGAACCTTTTTTTGGGGGGGGGTTTTTTGTTTTTTTTCACGGGGTTCCGGCCAGGGGAAATTTTGTTCCCCCCCCCCCCCCCCGTCCCAGTTTCGATTCCCTTCGACGACCCCCCCTCCCCCCCTCCTCCCCCCTCCCTCTCTGTGTCCCCCAACGAAATGACTCTCCACCTAGCTGCTGCGAGCGTTGACCTTGCTGACGAAGTCCGCCATCGCTGTGTCTGAGGACCGATCCACGGAATGGCGCCGAGAGGTGAGACGTGACCGGAAGGTGGTTAAACGCTGATTGGCTATTGCTGGTTGCGGGTTGGTGGTGCAACAACTATTGTATTAGATCTAGCAACACACGATACAATGCCCTCTGGATCTACAAATGGCCTTCGCTGAAATGGTGTATGGCAAGAGCAGCGGGCACCACTCCTCTTATCCTTTCTCCAAGTGCTCTACAAGTAGTGGCTAGATGAACAGCGAGAAATGGAAGATGCAACAATCAAAACGCGTTCGTTCTGTGGCAAGGAGAGAAGGGCCTCCGGATCACTTCAGCAAGCGTCCGATGTCAACCCTTTCACGCCGTTCTTGTACGTTAATATCTCCTGTGATTTCGCTGCACCGTTGTTTCCCTCCCCCCTTGACCCCTCGCTCCCGTGCCGTGCATACCGCCCCTACCCCTCTTCTACCTTGTTTCCCGTACGTGCGAACACCCTTGAGCATGCTCGGCTTCCACCACGTGCAGTACTCAACCCCTCTTTCCTGCCCTGGGTAACACCCTGACCAACATGAGAAACAACTCTATCAGGTCGTTACATACGCGAACATCCTTAGAACACGCTTGGCTCCCCCGCTACTGTTTTCAGTTTCCATACCCTCTGGGATGGATGAACCCCTGACCAATACATGAACAAAACAACTCATCGCGTCATGTTGATGTCACCGCCGCTCCGCCGCCACAGCTGAGCGAGCTCGGCAGCCACTTGGCCTCTCTGGTGCAGCTCCTCAAGATAGCACTCGAAGACGCTAGAGACGTTTTCGGAGGTGGAGACCTCCCGAAGGCGTTTTCGCACCGGGGAGGCGGGGGTGACGCTGACGCTGACAGTGATAGTGATGGTGGTGGTGGTGGTGGGGGCGAAGAAGGGGAAGGCATGCTGCGGATGCTGGATGTTCAGGCGGACGCGATGCGGCTCAACGCCGACGTGCAGAGCGACTTTGTCATGTTCATTCAGGCGTTCATGGACAGGTGAGGGAGGTACCACCCGCTGCTGCTGCTACTGCTGCTGCATTTCGTTCATGTGCAACTTTTATCCTGGGGAACGAGTTGGAGGCTGTTTTGCTCTCCTGGCGTTAATTTCTTTGTTACGTTGTTTGAGTGACGAGCTCCAAACGTCTTGCTTTTAAGTAGCTGGCACGCTGCTCACCGACAACGGCCTCGCATTTTTGTCTTCAATAGTGGACAGAGAGCGCGGAGTGATTGCATCGCCGCAGGTGCATTGAAGCAGGCATCATCCCGTGGGATTCGTCAACGGGCTTGCTACGCGGTCAATGCTTGTCTCTCAGTCTACGTAATAGTCTAGTGCTGTTACCGTTGCACGCGGGCATCGCGTACCCCCTTGTAGACCGACCGTCAAAGATCGATTGCAACGCTTTGTTTGGTTTCGCCCCGTGATACGTGCAGGGGGGCGTTTCCGGTGTGGGAGCTGGAGTCGATTCTCCGGATAAGCACGGCCGTGCTGGCCGTCATGGGCGTGCAGAGGGCCCTGCTAACCTTGGGGCACGCCGTGGCCACCGTGGTCGATCGCGAGTCGTACGGCTCCTACTACCGATGATGGCGGTTGGTTTGCGACGATGACAGGGCATGGATCGTGCAGACTACCGTATATGACACAAGATAACACACCCCCTTGGCCGATTTTCAAAGCTCAATTTCTCAACAGCAGGAAGAGTCACAGCGCCGAAAACGGCGGCGTTGGAACCGTCTCGTCGAGAGCTGTTCGAAAACGTATTGTTTCGTTTATGCATCCTCTTCGTCGTGGAGTAATCGAGCTTTGAAAATCGGTCCAGGGGGTGTGTTATCTTGTGTCATATACGGTATGTACACGCCCCATGGTTTTAGCCGCATGCGCACGTGTTCGGGTTCAACAAATACCTCGCGATGAGCGTTGCTTGTTCGCATCGGCCCGGCTGCTGAATGTCTTCGTCTTCGATTCTGGACATTCCGCGTCCCATGCATAGCAATGAAAAGCCTCTGAGCGTGATGATGATGTTGCCACCCAGCACTCGTTTTGGGTAGCAAAAGAACGGCAGTGGACACTCCGTGAACCAGGAGCAAACACGAACTGGTGCATTTTTTTGTCTGTGAGCAAGTGGCTTCAGCTAGGGCAGCAGTGTTTCTCGACATGGCGCCAAAGGTTGACGGCTTGCAGTTGAAACACATGGAAATATGAGAACAAGAACCACTCGGCGAAGGTCAAATCCAGCCATTCGGTTGGTTGTACACACACACAAATGGCTATTTGCTGGTTGGTTGCGCGTTTTTCGTTCAAAGTTTCATCCAGCGTGAACACGTACATTTCGCGAGTAATACCAGCTCGTTGTTGTCTTTATTCTCTTTCGTGTTTTAGCACATGACATCGGCAGCCTCCCACTACCCGTTGGTGATAATCCATTTTCTCCTCTGTTTTTTTTATTTCGCCCCCGCTGTGATACACTATACACCGGCCACCAAGGAAAGAAAGGGCTGGATCTCTCCCAAGACTAAAGACGTTTCACCCCTGGCTGATCATCACCCGATGATTACCCCTCGAACAAGCTGGAAAAAAAGGTGCCCACTACTAGGAAAAGTGCGTGCCACATTTCCTCTTCTCTCTATCGCCATCGCTTCACGCGAAATTTCCTAGAACTTTCCTGGAAACTCCCCGAGGGCACTGTCCGGCGACCAAGCAAGGTGCAATGCAACGCCACTTGGTTGGGGCAGGCGAAACCCTTGCATTTCCTCATGTCACGCCCAGCCTCGTCCGCAGACAAGAAGTCAATTTTCTCCAAATAAAACTAGATTAATTTTTTCCAAACAAACTGGACCGGTTGCTGCAGCAGTTGGAAGCGTAGACTAAGGAAGGAACGGCTAGTTAGTAGATTTTACCTCTTTCTCACTTCCAGCGTGCTGCGCCCGGCTCCGATCAACGAGCATCTTTAAGTTGACTCCTCCAACCACATCCCCATGGAACAGTGTTCCGTCCCGGACTTCGGCGGAACTGAGGGAGCACCACAGTCGTCGGAGAAACAAACAAAAATAAAAATCGCCAATTTTTGGTCGCCTGAGCGGTGGCCTGAATCGTTGAGCCCATGGTGCACCGAACTAAGCTATTTCGCGTTATTAAAGACTGAATGCTACATACGACACCGCTATTATACGTGTATAACCCCAACGAGCACTGACTCGGATGTGCCGCGTCTAGAGGTGTCCATCCGCCGACACCTTCTGCCCTCTTCAGCGGCGTCAGCTTTCGTTTTGTTCCCATTCCCAACACGCTTACATCACCCGCCTTTCTTTTCAGACGAGACTCGAAGACAACGCTACAACCCTAACCCTGCAGTGCCTCTTCTATGAGGCACAGCAACAAAATAAGAAAATAAGACGAGTTCTCCCGTGTGCTATTGTCTCGAGATTCTACTTAGCCCGTGAAATAAACCACGCCGCTGCGGCACAACAACAAGGAGAGCGCGGAATATTTGCTTTTCGCTAAGCGTGCGAGGTAATCGCCCAGATCAAACGCATGCCTACTTTGTGTACGAAAAAGCATGACTAACTGGCGGTGGATTCGAACCTCACAAAACCTCAAAAGCAATAGCGGAGACCAGTCCAGTCGTCAGTAGAACCGCTACAATACAAAACACTCTTAGCGTACTCACACCGTCTCGTTAATAGCAAGTGAAGAAAATCTCAGAGGGAGGCTCGCGTATGTACTCCACCGCTTTATACATCGAGACCAAAAACCAAAATGAGCCCCCCCCCCCCCCCCCAACCACCACATCGTTGTGCCCCAACTCCACGACAAATACTCGACAGACCTCATGCCCGGCCGAGCAAGGCCAACAAACACAAGAGGTTACCCTCGGAGAAAATATCAGCGTCGCCCCAATCACGTCGTTGTTTGCTGACTACCCTTGTAGTCAACCACACGCCCCGCCAGCAAGACAACCTGCTCTGAAAATGGGCCTCCCCCAGACAAAAAGCGATAACCCTTGCTGCTTTCTGGCGGAACACGGCGGCACACCGGGAACAACCACCGTCTACGGTATCTACGGTTTCACGCTACGGTTTCAACGTCTTCTCCGGCCGTGCCAAAGATCTCAAGGAACACGCCAGACGCCAACAGGACGTCAGCAAAATCACCTAACCCTTGCTCGAGAAGGGTCGCAATTCATCTGTCGGCAAAAAGGGACGAAAGCCCCCCCCCCTACCCCCCCTCCCCTCCCGGCGCCTGGTTAGCATCCAATTGCAGCGCCAGACCGAGAGCTCAGCACGGCGGTCAACGCAACGTTTTCGTGGTGTAGCATTTCGAGCTTCTAAACCATTACCCACACGAGCGATCGACGCATGTCTCCGCGTTCTCAGCCTCCCGCACGCCCGGTTGGTTCACCATAAATCAAGTCACCCCCCCGTCCACAGCACACAACAAACGTGGACGATCACCTGACTATCGCAGACCTCTCACACACGCGATTAACCAATTCAACAAAATCAAACAAACAACAACATGAAACAGCATACCCCCTACTGTGTCCCAGTCCAACGGGACTCTCCCCCTACCCACCGTGATACAAACACGCAAAAAAATCAATCTTGTGTGTCACGGGCATCTGTTGCCTGCAAGGCACAAGACCAAACCACGACGCACGTTCAAAACGGCCGCTATTTTGTTGTTTTTTTAGGGCGTAGGGCACGAGTCCAGCCTTTCGTTCGTGGGGGTGATTTTCCAACACACCAGTAAGAGTGCACGTATATTACAAACTAACAGGAATCTCGTAATGTACAGCAGTAGTTAAGTTAGCCAGCCTGCTCTACCCGCAAGGACGAATACGAATGTTTTGCATGGCGCTCCAGCAGGGGGCCACGCGGAAAATACCACCTGTCTTGGGGTATGCCCCCCCCCCACACACACACACACACACCACAACCTCCGCGGCTCAAACCCTTGCCAACGAATCTATTCCAACGGATATATAGATGTCGTTTTGTCTAGTTGGTTTTTCCTTCGCGCTCGCTCCTTGAACTACATTCAGCCCCCCCCCCCCCCCCGC